CATCCTGTAATGGGTACCGAGTTAGTCCCTCGATTGGTACCCCTTTATACCACTACTCTTAGTACCGTTTGATAGATCCAATCGCTTCCTACTTTTCCAGTTGAGGGAATATATACTGGTAGCCGACCTTACTATCTCTGGCCTCACCCATTACTAACGAAAGCGCAATACTATTTGGCATAGTCCGGCGTATGAGATGGCCTGCTCAGCCTAGTGTCTTCTCGACGAAGTGACATGCGGAGAACTGTGGGTAAGTTGCGCTTATGCAAAAATACGAAAAACAGTATGTAATTACACAGATGAAACAATTATGGACAAGAATCCAAGGTAATTAAAACTTATAAGTATCACCATGGTTTCACAAAACCGCTTTAATCCGTTTTGGGGAACCCTCGGTAAAATGAATGTTTTCTTTTTGCTCGTAAAGATAATAATTACAATGAAACACATGTGAGTAAGAACCAGACGTCAGAACTAGTAAGCTGCTATTTTATTATCACTATATTTGTATTGTGTCTAAAAAGTATCACTTTACTTGACTTTCCGCAGTTGTAACGACTGCTTTCTAGTAGAGTAAGTGATTTTTTAAAACTTTACTGTCGCTATATTACTATCGCTTGCGTATTACACAGATCCCTCTTAAACTGTCCTTAACTCTAGAAAGTATCAACTCAATACAAACAATTGGAATTACTGATACGTGATCGCCGGCGATGAATAGGTTTATTATAACGACGACTTCCACTGCAGCTACCGTACTTCTGCCTGGAGCAGGCGAAACCAACGACACTTGTGTTCAACCGGAATATTGGCTTCCTGTCCTAACTCGGAACTACCATTTTGAGTCCTGTTAGGTGGTTGCATACCAATTATCAGTCAGTAATCGCGAAGCATCAACGGAATAGACGGACGCTGAAGGCTCAAATGCGCCGGTTCTTAAGTAAAATGTTCACTCCCGTGCTTATTCCTACCGTCAGGATAAACAACAGGGCTAACCGGTCTTACCGGAGTTGAATGTAGCCACATGAAGCAAGATGAATGCAGATGGGCAGAATCTACTTTTCCTTACAGGAGAATGTATGCTGAGCTAAAGGAGCTTAAAGTGGGCATTTGGGTGCCCAGGTTGGAAATCTTAGGTCAAAAGTTGGGGGCCTACTTCAGAGCTTACTTTGCGAACTTGACCGGCTGACTAGCACTGAGTCCGTATCTTCCAGTCATGGTCCCGAGCATATTATACTAACGTCGAAAACTCAGTCAATTTAAGCATGTTGTGTTGTTTGTAAACTTCATGTTAGAGAATGGTCAACTTACGAAATGGCTCATTTTTTTTCTTGCTGCTCTTCTTTAGCTTCAACAATCTGGCGCACGTAATTGAAAACTGTCGCTTCGCCTGCGCCATCGATCAGCAATGCTTAGGCATTGAATTTGTGAAGGGTGCTTTCTGCACCTTGATAAGAAAATACCGGGCCGACAAGGTGATCCGGCAACTCGGAACTCTGACGGAGCGCAAACCTAGGGCATGTTATGCGGCTCAGCACAAAGAATTTAACTATACCTATCCATATCGGAAAGCTGTCAATCATTTGAAAAAGCAAGGAAAAGATTGAAAATAAACAAGTGCGGTACAAATATGTATAAGATATTTGATTATACATATTCATATCGTAAAGCAGTTAATAATTTGAAAAAAATGTAAAGTAAACAAGTTTTTTAAAGTCCACAAGGAAGTCTAGGTGATCGCAAACCGTAAATCATTTGAAAAAAAATACAAATTAAACAAGCGTTTTAAAGTCCACATGGATATCCATGAGTATAAATATCCGTACCGCAAATGCTTAAATCATTAAAAAGAGGCATTAACTCATGTACACAAACATGCAGAATAAACCTACAGCAGAAGAAGTCGAGTTTGTTCAAGTTCAGAAGGAGATATACACGAGTATAAGTATTCCTAGGCTAAAGCATTAACTCCCTTACACATTGGCTCAGTCATATGTGTAAGGAAGTTAATGCTTTAGCCTAGGAATACTTATACTCGTGTATATCTCCTTCTGAACTTGAACAAACTCGACTTCTTCTGCTGTAGGTTTATTCTGCATGTTTGTGTACATGAGTTAATGCCTTTTTTCAATGTTTTAAGTATTTGCGGTAAGGATATTTATACTCATGGATATCCTTGTGGACTTTAAAAAACTTGCTTGATTTGTATTTTTTTTTTCAAATGATTTACGGTTTGCGCTCACCTAGATTTCCTTGTGGACTTTAAAAAATTTGTTTAATTTGCATTTTTTTCAAATTATTAGCTGCTTTACGATATGGATATGTATAATCAAATATCTTATACATATTTGTAACACTGTTGTTTACTTTTAATCTTCTCCTTTCTTTTTCAAATGATTGACACTGTTGTGTTTGAAGCTTCTCAATAAAGTTACGTTTGTAATTACTGATCTTTTGAGTGCTGGAACTCTGAAATGACCTAGTAAGCCCAAACCTCTCAGTGACTGTTTCCGGAATATTGCAAGCTCCGGGGGCGGGATATTAAGAAGAAGTAGGCAGGAAGCAGGCTTGACTGTGATCAACCAATCAACGTAGTCCTGTGGAACTGTATCGGGTCGTCACACTGTCCAAAATAGTCAGCTGTGAATGACCTAGACTGAGTGTTTCAGTGGTCTGGACTAGGGTTCATCGGAGAGGGCGCAGTAATAGCTTCTTCGGGGAGGGCGCTGTAACGGTGATTATTTGCTGGTAGCTTAATGCCTACCTTTTATCGTGATGGATGGAAATCTCAGCCGGAGAAATCCTTGATGTCTGTTGTTCATCACACTGTTATAACAGCTACATTTGTGAGCCTTTATCGCTGCGATCCAGGGAGTCCCCTATGGGACTGTGAATCGTACGAGTTAAACTAATTATAAGTTACTACTACCTTACTGGCAGTAGTTAAGACTTAATGAAAACAAAATTAAGCGATTGTTCAATGCAATATATTTGGTTACTAGTAGGAATCTTGGCTTTGTCACGCGGTTTTGGTAATCAAGCATTTACGTTTACTTTTACAATCTAGAAGTAGGTGAGCGCCATTTAATGTGGCTAGAAATTTCCTTGATGGACTGCATATTTTAAGTCGTTTTAAACTGAGGTATGTAAGATGCTCCTTCATACTCGCCAGGGAGACAGTCGTGACTTGCGCTGCATCGTACTCATGCTCTCTTCAGATTCATCCTTTTTGAGGATAAGACTCAGTTGAGGTGTATGATACAAAGTAGTCCAGCTGGGTAATAAAATATGAACGTTAATCAAAGGCCATAAACTAGTAAATAAGATAGGGCGTGGACGGCCAACATAAGTTAATTTAGTGTTGATATACTGGAGCATGGATAATGGGTTATTGACCTCCGGACAAGTGTAGTCCAGCCATGAGCAGCCGTGTCCAGAGTCAAAATACGCCTGTGAGGTCGCCGGGTCCGGCAGCCTTTGAACGTAGGCAGTCACTACAATAGGGTCCTTTGTGAACAAACCTTGGAAGTGATGGGCCAATTAGGATAGGCAGAGGGTAAACACACGTCCGTGACCTTAACCTGCCTTTGAAAAACTCTGCGGCGCAAGTGCTTAGTGGACACAAGAGACAGACATGCGACCTGCCCCGGAGGCGTGCGAGGAAAGCATGGTTTAGAGTACGGGGTTTATACAAAGGCATCCGGGAATCAACACCAGCGTAATAGGTGACCAGGCATACACCCCAAGTTCTGATGTGCCAAATGCATGCTACTTCTTCGCCGATAGCTATCATGTTTGGAGTTAACAGGATATACCATACGGATAGAAGACTTACTGGCTAAAAATGCAGACACATGTTTTACTGGTATTGTGCTCTTGCTTTACAAGGCTAAAGGGAGTTTGGACCCAACAGTGAGTCCACTAGCATCTCTTATGTGTTTTCTGGTAGATATTAAAGTAATTGCTTTTTACTCTCCTTAGAAATATATTGCTGACAAAGAGCAAATCAGTTGGATCGGCTCAGTCCAAAAGTTAGGATGAATCTACGGCTCGATGTGCCTTAACCATGGTCTGATAACCACACACAATGTATGAAATGGCTGCCAGTACATCATGCACAGAAGAGCATAGTGTATAGACATATTTCACTGTCCACCAACCACCATAGTTTATTCATACCATATAAATGTAAAAACCTGACGAGAATTTATCGAAAACAAACGTATGTTCGCCAACTTATCTTCTGA